AATGCACCTCCCCTTAGTGCTTGTTATGCTGAAGAACAGTGAGTAATTGAAGCAAGTCATATTGAAAAACTGTAGCACGTTGTATCAAAAGTTGCCATGTCAACTCACATTGCCATGTCCTCAATTCGTGCATCATCCTTATAACATATGCGACAAGGACAACGTCAGCGTGCTATATCTTGGAACGGTAGCACAGCGGTAAGAGATTGGGTTTCAATGCCGGGTTCGAATATTAGAATTGTGAAACAAAAATGATATTAATTTTTTTCCAGCTAATTCCCATGATTAAGGAAATTATCCAGCGTTGCTTCGGTGTAACCAGCAGAGAAAAGGGTTTGAAAATCTTTGATTATCGAGGGATGAGAACAGAATGACGTTCTTCTTATAAAGTCGTGTAGAAACGGACCAGAGGAATGGCCATACTGTTTCATGTGAGTGCCTCTTCTGGCTGCAAATCGCTTTGGCCCATTTGAGAACGAGCTGTGCGGTGTGACCACTGTTTCTGAACAGAAAATAACTATTCCATTTGCAAACGATGGCAGCGTCAGAACCTTTTCTAAAGTTCTCGAACCTGTTCCCATCTTTGACTAGAACCTATCGAGTTTGCATTCCTACCACTAATTTTTTCCTTCTGTCGAATCATCTATCTTCTGGCTTAGTTTCTACTTATTTCAATGGCATTTGCCTTTATTCCAGTACCCGCAATAGTGCGACTTCCACTTTCAAAAGCCTTGTGTTATTTGTTTTTTCAAATCTTATGTCGTCATCGATGCAAAAGTGGTTGCCGGATGTCTAGACGGGACGTATCCTCATTTGGATCCTACTGTAAATTGAACCTTTTACTTGAATCCTCGAAATCAGGCACACTTTTACGATAACAGTGTATCCACAACAATAATGTTCAATTCTAATACAATGAATGGAATGCGTTCTAATAATTATTTAACGTAATATCAATGCCTATTACATTATCTATGTTGATTAGATGGTAGAACCGTTGGCCCAAAGTTACATGGAAAACGTGGGATTGCTGGTAACGCAGTAACTTGTCTGCTGCTTTAACTGAAATCGGCCAGCAATCTATTGCTTTTACCCTTACTTTTTGCATTGTTTA